CACACACACACACACACACACACACACACACACACACACACACACACACACACACACAGATGTTCCAGTGGCGGTGCAGAGAGAGCGAGGGCTCTTTGAGGTCAGTAAGTAGGCTGACGTTGGACTCGCTGCGGTGAAGGAAACCTGATAGCTCTGCTGTGACCTTTTTATCAGTACACACCTCGCCCAGCAGCATATTAGTGTGCATGCAGAGGTAGTTCAATTACTTAATTTTTCTCGTTTCTCCAGGAAATGTGTCTCTCAATAGTACGCAATTCATATTCCGAATGAGTGCATCACAGTGGATACTTTCTTCTCAGGTGTACTCTGTATTATTCTTTTTTTGCACTGCTATAAAAGATCAGTGTCTATGGTTGCATAATATGTGTGTTAAAATGACACTGTCATCTGAAATGATCCTTTTTTTATACATTTTTAACGTCATGATGGAATAATTCATCTCTAGGCTCCTGTACTAATCAAACGATGCAGTTTAAAACTTACTCGCAGTCACCAAATGATTGTAACTTAAATGATAACCTATTGATATGTTGTGACGGATCGGTGAAAACTCTGTTTCCTTCTTCAGTCAGCTGACACTTCTCACGAAAACTAACCACCAGCCATGTATTATAAAGGAAGCTTTCACTTAAAACAGTCCGGTTACTCTTTCTTCTCACACTTCCTTGTTAAAAGGATGAATTGTACAATATGTGGGTTTTTATATCGATTGAAAGTACGATGGAAATAAGCGGAGAGGGGAACAAAAAAGAGTGGGATTAAGAAAACGACACAAACAAATACCCCACTGTCACTCTCTTATCGCAGGCGCTTTGTGGCAGCCGGCGGTCTGGTACTCACTCTCACACACGCACTCAACCACACACACAGAGGTCCTGTGATCACCTGACAGTCTCATGTTGTTGTGTGGATTTAGTTCACCGCTATTCTTAGACCCTCAGCTTTGGCTGAGAGGAGAGAGAGAGAGGAAGAAGAAGGCTGGGGGAAAGACTGGCAGACTTGCGATGATGCCCAGGTAGGAGTCGGTAATATTTAACCAGGCGTGCGTGCATCCCAGTGGGCATGGTGGTGTTGGTCAAAGGAGGCCTGTCTGTGTTGTTGTTGTTGTTGTTGGCAACCTGTTCCCAGCTGGGCAACGTTTCTGCAGTTTGAGGTAGCGGAGCTGTAGTTTTAAAGATTGATTGTGGTCAGTGTTGTATAATGAGGATTAAAGGGTTTGTAGTGTGGTTTCTTTGAGCTAAATTAGAAAAAGAAAGCTATCTGGCATTAATGTGTTGGGGTGGAGTTGTAGTTCAGAGAGTTTGTGTTTTGCATATCTGTGATCTCAGATAGGATAACATTTAGTCTCGGGACCAAGGTGAATCATTTTCAGACGAGCTAATGCCCTGCTCGTTGTCTGAAATGGAACCTAAATAAAACTGTTGCCAAGCAAAGATCAACAGGTTGTACGAGGAAACAAACAGCCGTGAATCTGTCAAGAGGCTGTTTTGAGTCATTTGTGGCTCAGACAATGGAGGTCAAAGCGGTGCGAGTATGTAACAGTCATGAAGTCATGTGCTGCTTTTATGAATGACTGCCCTCTCTCCTCTGTCAGCGCTGTGACTGTCACAAGCTCTCTGATGGATACTTCCCGCTCTGCTCTCGCTTTTCTGTCCGTCTCAGATGTTTTTCTGTTTCCGTGTGAGCTTTTTAATCTAAGCTCAATTCTCCCTCCAGCAGCTTTCAATGCATTTACTCATTCAACATTCTTCTCTTTTGTTCTTTGTTTCATTACTTTAGGACTCTGCTGCTCATAAAAGGGCTCTTGTCTGTTTTATTGTCGTCTTCCTAGCTTTCTGTCCGGTGTTTATTCCGTCTTGCTCTGTGTTTTCTGTTTTAAACAAAGGGAGCAGTGAAGTTGGTGTCACATTATGCAGATCTCCTCTGGGGCTGATTTGCAACGGATCTTATTTTTTGGAATTGTTGCACCCCAAATTTTTGGCTGGAAAAGTGAAATCTATCCTGTAACTTCTGACCAGTTAATGACTGCTGCAAAAAGGGCATCAGAGATTTATTTATTTCCTCAATTGAAGAAGCAGAAAACGCATGAAAACCCTCCAACATAAAGTCCAGTTGCAAGGAGGCATGTGACTAAAACGATCACACAAATCTATGAGCTGAACATCGACTCAGCCTCAAACAATGCAGTTTGAGCTCATTATGTCGGCCAGGCAGGCATCACGTCTCCCGTTTAACTCAGAAACACTTTGTAAAGTCATCGAACATTCACTTCGATTACCCGTTGGTCCAAACAAAAGAGCAGAAGAACAACAATGAAGCCAGAGCGTTGAAGTTTAATTGATAAGTTGTCAACTACTAAATTATTCGCCAGCTATTCTGACAGTTTTGAGTCAAAATTCTCTGATTCCAGCTTCGTAAATGTGAATATTTTCTGCTTCTTTACTCCTCTATGACAGAAAACCGAATGTCTTTAAGTCGTGAACAAAAGAAGACATCTGAGGACGTCATCTTGGGCTTTGGGAAACACTGACCGTCACAATTTTCTGACATTTTATGGACCAAACGACTACTTGATTAATCGAGAAAATAATCAACAATGCAAACCTTGATAAGATGATATATGTTGAGTGATTCGATCAATGACGAGTCAACACTGTCGTGGTCTTAAAGGAGTAAAAGCTTGGCTTCAAGGCAATCCTCTTTTATTAGTTATTTTGATGTCACTTACCAATAACAGTTGAACATATCCTGCATGTGTTTTATGTTTTAATGTAATAGCAGTGGTAGCCCTCTACTGTAAAGCCACCTCAGGAAGTGTTGACGCTACCAACTAAGGATGCATCGATCCCTAGTTGGTAGCGTCAAAGTTTTTTTTTTTTTAGCTATAAACTAGACTTTTGGGAATCACCCGATACAGATTAATCAATCAATCCAACACCAAAGGAAACATCTTAAACACTGCTTTGTTAACTTTGTAAAACCAAATGTAACATATAAAGACAGAGATATTCATTTACTGAATTGTTATTTGTAATTAAGTAACAAATTGTACATCAGCATTTGTTAAAGAAACCTTTAAAATGAATTCAAGTGGAAACCTTTTTCAATGCAGCAACACATTAGTTGAAACCTAAACAGAAATTCATGTTGACATTTCTCTGAACTTTCTGTCTGAAAGTCGTCTGAACTAAAATATATATTTATATGTTGAGCAGCGAGCTCGATTGTTGAGCTACAGGATCGAATGCTGGAGAAGTTTCTTGTCCAGAAATGACTTGAGTAGCTCATTGAACAACGTTGCCCAACCCTCTTGTGTGATTGCCTCCCATCTGACAAATTACTTTTGGTTTGACAACTTAATGCTGCAGCACATGACTCCCTCCATATACTCTCCTGCAAGACTGAAGAATGCAGTGGCCATACTTTGAGACCAGTGTTTGGTAAATAGTAGCTCACATGCATAAGTTATGTACACATAGACTTCCTCACATATACAGAACCGTACACCGACACTAAGGTATGCCGTTTGGTTTGGCAAGCGAAAATGGACTTAACTGTTCCTCTCCACACACCCACCCATTTACTATAAACACTGCTCTCAAACATAAGGTCTATATTTAGGTCCAGCTCAGTGTCCATCAGGTCACACCTAAATCCTCCACCGTCTATCTGTTAGTCATCTTTACAGCCTCTACTAAATCACCCAGGGACCACGGTTTCCCCCTAAAAAGCCCACGGCGAGATGGAAATATGCAGTGACATCATTTTGTAATATTACCTGAGATGAGAATAAATGTACCACTACTAAATCGAATACCCCAAATATCCAATACAGCTTTAAATCTTACCCCATGAAGCTGATTGATCAAATATATTTAGGTATGTTTAGTGTGTATTCGTCTGCATAGAGACGATGATATAATTTGGCAGATATTTGCATTTTAAATCACTTTATCTGTTGGTTAAAGAAGTCAGGAGGGATGATGGGAAACTATTTAGGCTCTTCACTTAATATAAACATGCAGAATAAGAGTCATTGCCTTGAGTCAAGTATGACTCGACTCATGTAGTGGAGATGCAGACTGGTTGTACTGGGTGTCGGTCACATGTGTAACTGGAATATTCTCTGGATTAATAAGGACAAAGTACTGTGTTGATTGTCTTTGTTATCTTGGATGAGTGTCTGCTTGTTATCTGGGTGAATCTGTATTATTGTTGTGTGTGTGTGTTGGCTTGATCTTTGTGTCTCTCCTGGTTTAGGTATGAGATGGATGGATGAATGGCAGCTGTGGCATGGAGTCTGTTGGCTCCGTCATGTCCACTGGGACGGATGAGGGCTTAAACAGGTTTATATTAAAGCTCGTACATCATGTCTACCTTTACGATGTGCCAATCGTATGGCTCTTTGAATTACTGCGGTTGGATAACCAGAACCTTTGTAGAACTTTTTCATTAACAGACATTTTCCCTGATGGTAATGTCTGTAAATGTTAAAAAGAAGGAAAGTCATCACTTTTGAGATGTTTCCTCACTCTGTGGCTTTAATTCACTTTATTTGTACTAATTGCATTATTCCCCCCCCCCCCTTATCTGTCTGTTTCTACCTCACTTTGCTGCCTCCCTTTCTCTTGACCCATCCCTCCTCTCTCCGTCCGTTCTTCTGTCCGTCTAGCTGGCCGATCCCCCAGCTGGAGCCCAGTCAGATCCGTCTGATCGTCTACCAGGACTGTGAGAGGCGCGGGAGGAATGTCCTCTTCGACTCCAACGCCAAAAAGAAGGGCACGGAGGAAACCCCCATCACCGTGAGTCGTGTGTGTGTGTGTGTGTGTGTGTGTGTGTGTTGTCAATAGGAGGCCCATGCTTTGTGTTGTAGATGGTAATGAACAGACATGGTTTGGTCTGTCAGGGGCCCGCTGATGCAGGTCCAATTTCTATGAATTGAGATGTGAAAAATGAATAATCTATTGTAGAAATGTCACATTGTTGAACAGCTACTTCTTTAATGTGCAGAAACCTTTTGACCTTTTTGAAGCTCGCACACACAGACACAGAGAACAGAGGTGTGATGTTTAATTATTTCAAAGGGCTGTCATGAAAAACAGAATTCCTTTTGCTATTAGTATTTTTTTGTGTGTTTCTATAGGTTTTGTAGGATTTAATTCAACTGTTTCACCAAAACAACTAAAAACAGCTGAATGAATGCTTGTTAAAACTAAAGTTTTATATTCTCTGTAGAAAGGTTCAAGTCTCTTTTTGACTCGATGGATGACGAAAAAGCTTGTGATTGTATTTCCATGACACGGCAGACAACAACTTAACCATTCTGACACGTCAAACACACACAGCGTAGCAGTCTTTATCAGGGTGTGTTCAACAACAGCGTTCAAACGATAGCAATCAATCATGTTTCTTGACAACCAGCTTTACTCCACCTCCTCCAACACACGGTGACACACTGTGTGCGTGTGCCTGTGCCTGTGCGTGTGCGTGTTCTGGAGCTCTTATCTCCGATGATAAATGGCCTCAGCTGACAGCTCATGTGTGCGCGCAGCATTCTCTCATCCTCACATGACGGCCTCTGTCTGTCACTGCTCTAGCTCTACATTTTCCTCTTCCTTAAAACCTGCTGTCTCTTCATTCCGTCTGTCTTTAGTGTCCTGTATCTGTCCTCTGCTTCTCTAGATGATTCTGGTTATCATGATCTTTTGTAATTACTTTCTGCCTTTTTTTACTTCTACCCTCTCATGCAACTTCATGGACATCTCTCTCTACCTCGGCCTCTATATTTACTTTAGTTTGTCTTTCTCCCTGCAATACTCAACCCGTCTTCAGTGTCTTAACCTCGTCACTCTACACCTCCGTGTCCCTCGATCATGCCTTTAAAACCTCCATGTTTCTCTGTCAGTCCTCAGTATGGCCTCTTGTCTGCTTGTCCATCTGCCTCTTCATCATGTCCATAACCTCGCCAACACACACACACACACACTGCTGTTGTCTCATGACGCCCTGTCATGAAAAAGAAAGAAATTGATTGCTCATCTTTCTCAACTCATGCACGAGGATTTACTGAAGCTTTACATTTGGATTGGACCAGTGCCAGATGTGGGGGGGGAGAGGGGGAGAGAGAGAGAGAGGGAGAGAGGGAGAGAGAGAGAGAGAGAGAGAGAGAGAGAGAGAGAGAGAGAGAGAGTTGCTGCTCGCTCACGAGTTCCCGAAAGAGTCATATGACTGGCTGTCACATGCTGCTGGCTTGTGTGTACACACGTCGCTGCAGCGGACACACAAATACATTCTCACACAGAGTCAGCGAGGGTTCATGAGGTGTGTGTGTGTAATTAATGATAAAATATGCAGACAACAAGTTGTGTACAGAGTTTACTGACGTTCTTTAAAAGGGCAGAATGAGGCTAAAACCAACATCTTTCTCTCCTCATTGCATTCTGTTTCTCTGTCTCCTTTTCTCTTCCTCCCCTACGTCGACAGCGGTTTAAAGTTAGCCATTACCACAGCCTAGCTAATAAACACACACACACACACACGCACTCCCTCTCCGCCCAAATGCATTCCTCGACAATAGGCTGCCAAGTGAAGAAGGTCACGTGACACAGGCTCATTGAGCTCTCATTGCTTTTGGTTTGGCTGTTTACACAAGTGCCTCTGGATTAGGTTTCTGTGGTTTTCTACCTGAACAATTCAACTTCATTTATGTTTCTGTATTTAAAAGGAAAAGGAAAAACTCAACTTAGCTGATGAAACGATGCAGGTGGCGAGTGTGCGTTTTACTCCACCTTTTGTTTATGTTTTCAGAGGCTGATAAAGTTTTTATATCCTTAATTGCTGCAAACAAAGCAGTACAAAGTGGTGCTTCTTCATCATCAAGCTCAAATACAATTTAAATACAATGTAATTTGAACCTTCTGCAGAGTTAAATGAGCTTGTGTTCATGGTATTTGTCCTGTAATACTCCTAATTTTTATTCATTTATATCCCCGTAGAGCACCGAGGGCCAGGCCAAGATGTTCGGGAAATGCTGCCAGCTCCGTCCGACTGGAGGCAGCAGCAGCTCCCTGGACAGCTCCTCCTCCTGCACCTCAGAGACCAAGGAGACCAAGGAGCAGGGCATCCGCTTCCAGGTAACACTTACCTTCTACTTGCATGCTCAATTTAAACATTTACTCCCTCGCAGTTATTTATACGTGTTCTCACATGTTCACATCTGCATAATCAGGCACAGGAGTGCCTTAGTTAAAGAAGAACATCTTGGGTTCACTGTGTTCATTTTAATGGTAGCAGCATAGAAACTCTTGGCTCCTCCTCTCTTCTCCAGGGTTCGAGGTGTTCGTCCGATGTGGTGATGTTGGGGGAAATGATGTTTGGCTCCGTGGCTATGAGCTACAAAGGTTCCACGCTAAAAATCCACCAGATCAGGTAGCGAGAATAAGGCTCCCATTTGCTTTGACATTATACTTGGCTTTTAGTACTAGATTTTCTTTTTGGTAGAAGAAGAGACAAACGAGGTCGGGTGTGACCGACGCACAAAGGTTGCACATGAACCGATACACAGTGATGCACACATGCTGATGATCTTTGTCCCCGTGCTGTCGTTGTATCAGATCGCCACCTCAGCTCATGCTGAGTAAGGTCTTCACCGCCAGGACGGGAGGCAGCGTGTACGGCAGCCTCAACACGTAAGCACACGCACACACACGCTTATCAGCACACACTTCTCGCTCTGATTCCTATGATGGCTTCTTCCATTAGCCGGCATCTTCTCATCTCTCTCTCTCCATCTGTCTACATTCTTGTCTGTTTATGGCCACCACTGATACTGTCTCTGTCTCTCTTCATCTAGCTGAACACACTGTTCTCTCAATAGTCTCATACAAACCGTGTGCCCTACCAGTCAACTTTGAATACATGTCAAAACAAAACATGCATACAGTGTAAATGTACAGTTTAATTGGGTTTTCAGGTTGTACAATCATCCCCACAAGTGTCCTAACTGTGATTCCTATTTGTGATGTTGTGCAGGTTACAGGACAGCCTAGAGTTCATTGGACAGGACGGCAACACCCTGAGGCCCGATCAAAACACGGGGCCCAACAGTCTCCTGGGGAACATAGGTAACAATGGGAACACATAGTGCCACACCAGATCCTTCTCTAGCCACCAATGATAGTCCACTTGTGAATTTTAAGTAGAAAGTGGCTGAAATGTCAATAATTTTTTAGTTTCTTATGTTGCCTCCAAACAAACTAATGGAGAAATATCTGACTGTATGAAATTAGTATTTACAGCTTAAAACCAAAGGGCGACTTGACTTTCATCTTGTTGTTGAGTTTCCACAGTTAAAGTGCTTTTTCGTAGAACTGTGAGGAATCAGCAGATTTTCTCTCCCCCAGCTCTCCCTCAGCTCTCCCTCAGCTCTCCCTCAGCTCTCCCTCAGCTCTCCCTCAGCTCTCCCTCAGCTCTCCCTCAGCTCTCCCCCAGCTCTCTCTCAGCTCTCCCTCAGCTCTCCCTCAGCTCTCCCCCAGCTCTCTCTCAGCTCTCTCTCAGCTCTCCCTCAGCTCTCCCTCAGCTCTCTCTCAGCTCTCCCTCAGCTCTCTCTCAGCTCTCTCCCAGCTCTCCCCCAGCTCTCTCTCAGCTCTCTCTCAGCTCTCTCTCAGCTCTCTCTCAGCTCTCTCTCAGCTCTCTCTCAGCTCTCTCTCAGCTCTCTCTCAGCTCTCCCTCAGCTCTCTCTCAGCTCTCTCTCAGCTCTCCCTCAGCTCCCCTTTCACAAACCTCGTGAGCAGTTGGAGGAAGTTCAGAACTGGCCTCGCAAGCAGAAGCTTTCTCAGCACATTTGCATATTAAACTTATATATAAGCTTATCCCTGAATCTCGTGGCGACTCTCCTCGTCACTCGTGGTGAAACTAATCTACTGTATCCCAAAAAATTAACCAAACTCCTTAAGTCTAGCTCCGAATGGGAAGAATATTTTAAAGAAGATGAACTGTTGGCAAATTCTATCCTTTTGTGCGTTTTCTCTGTCATCCTCACAGAAAAGACCTCAGAGAAGTCTGTCGTAATATATTCGTTTGATAAGCTGTAGCTTTCTGTGAGTGATGACGGTCATTGTTTCATTCCAGACTAAAAACCTCCTGTAATGAAGTCGTTCACTACACAATGGTCCTGCAGCAGGAGGCAGCTATCTTTCCTCCTCCTTACTCATTCACTAACCACGGTTCATGTTGTTGTTTTTTTGTCTTTTTCTCCTTCTTCCTTTTTTTTTTTCTCGTTGTTTGTGCTGCGCAGGATTTTCTCAGCTCTGCAGCCCGCGACGGGCCTTCTCTGAACAGGGCCCTCTGCGCCTCATCAAGAGCGCATCTTTCTTTTCAGGTTGGCGCTTAAAACTGGCCCTGACTGATGTGTGCCAGTTGTGTGTGTGTGTGTGTGTGTGTGTGTGTGTGTGTGTGTGTGTGTGTAGTCGTGTTAGTACAGGCCGTGACTCTCGGCGGCTGCATGCCTGTGTGGTGATTCCTCCACTAGAAGGGGTAGCAGTAGTCATAGCATGCAGTACCACGGCACGTCTGTAAATACCCCGGGTCAGATAGAAGCTGCAGACACTGTTCTTTAAGAACATTTTGATTCAAATCCAAGTGGCACCAATTAGAAGTGAAAATGAACACAAAGTGCCGCTCACAGAGGTTATATTTACTGCTTCAAACACCTTCTGCTCCATCTTTATGCTAATAGTATTGTCATCCACAACGTTTTCTCAAACTAAAATATCTGCCGTAACTATCTGACCCGGTGCTGCAGGTGTGTGACGCACAGAATGGGTGTGCATGGGTTCTCTCTGGTGTCGGTGTCTGTAGTTTAAGTTTTAGCTGTCTCACTGTAACTCTGTGTGTTCCTCACTCACATACTTCACTAACTTGTCTTGACTGTGATGCTTTAGGCTTTAAGTGCGTTTTAACCATCGACTATGATGGTCTTCAGTATTTTCGTGGGCTGTGCTGTTGTAAGTTTTCCTCCTTAATGATGCCGTAAAAATTCACAGTTACACAACCCGCCGTGTGTCACGTAGCTCGCTCCATCTGAGCAGCTGGTGGGGAAATTCCTTGTTAAAGGGCACCTTGGCAGTAGGAAAATTAAATGGTGACTCAGTGTTCCACTTTCTCTGCTGTATTTAAACTACTTCCTATGAAGCTGTACACAGTATGGGGGGGAGGGCACAGTGGGGAACCCTCAGACGTCTCTCACACTTACAGAACTTCTCTTTACAGCCTGCAGAACGAGCTCCGTCTGAGCGGGATCTAAACCAGCAACTTTGACTGAGTGCAGCAACAGAATAACGAACTACATTAAACTCAAACTCCCATCATTCATTGCATCATGCTGATCAGAGGGCCTTTTGACAGAAGTACTCAGTGGTTCTTCCTCCCTCCTTGTCTCTCACCCTGCAGACTACCCACAATCCTGTTCAGGGCACCCCTAGGTTGGCATGGCGTGCAGTTATGCAACATGAATGCTCATGAAGCACATAGTGCACCCACCCCCCCCCCCCCCCCCCCCCCCTCGAAAACACCCGAATACTTTGCAATAAACGCTCACGTTGACTTCCTCATTAATCATCTCAGCCAGAGATCGAAATGCTACATTTTGTAGTTTTCACACCTCTCCGCCATGAAGAAGTGTTGACAGTTTGTCCCGTTTGTACGCCAACGTGTTGACGAGAAGGACACTTAGGAGCGAGCAAACATCCTGCTCTGTGGCACAAAGTAGCATCAAAGCTGTAGCAGCTGCTGAAGATGACGGCCTGTTACTAAAGTAGTGCTTTATGCTCTATTTGCGTTGATTGTCGCACTAACAGCATGAGAACAGTAGATATTAGTCCAACAATAGCGCTTATTCTAGCTGTATGTACTTTGTGAACCAGTACATATGGTGGTGCAGTCACTGGTCAGGTTATAAACAATGGCTGTTGCTGTTCTTTAAGGAGAGATTTTAGGTTTTCTTTCTGTAGCTCACACGTGGATGCTGAGGAGGTGAAGCCTCCAAAAGCATTAGCTTCTGTATTTGTTTGAGGTAGAAGAGCATCCTCAGCATCCCTGGTACATGAGTACATTATGTGTTTCTCACATGTTGTTTTTTGTGTCCCTTTGTTCTTCCTTTCCTTCTTTCTCTTCATCTAACTTCATCCCCTTGAATCTCTCTTCTCTGTTTCTTTGTCTCCATCTGTCCTCTCTCTTAACTATTTTCCTTTACCCACAACCCAACCCTTCACTTCCTCTCTCTCTCTCTCCATTCTCCCTCCTCCCTTCCTCCAGGCCACAGTCACCCCATGGACATGCCAGGCCGAGGGCTTCACGACGAGAGGGACAGCGGCATCGCCCGGTCGGGTAAGTTAATGAGACTAGGAGCCAAAAGCCTGGATCGACCTACACTCTGCACAGCTGGGCGAGCTTTCAGCCCCACCGCCCAGCTCTGAATTGGGTTTACAGTTTAGTCCTGTTGAGAACAGACAAGTGAGGAAATAAATTACTATTTTAGACTATTTTGTGTCTCCTACTTTTTAACATTGACCTAAAACCACATACAAAAATAGGATGCAGAGGTGGAAGACGCTGGAGGAGCTTACTGGGCCTTTAGGGTCTGGAAAAGCTCCTATAGCTCATACGTCACACACACACTCTTATACGCTCACCCCCGTGAAGTTATCTCTTTATCTCTCCACACACACACACACACACACACACACTTCACATCTAAAATGGTTGGTCAGTGCGAGCTGCTTGGGCTGTAAATACCCCCGTGATCAGAGCTTGTATCCTGTGTTTGTGTATAAATTTGTGTGTGTGTGTGTGTGTGTGTGTGTGTGTGTGTGTGTGTGTGTGT